GAGAGAGAATGAATATCGGTGGACACAACATCTTTTATTTTATTTTTTTATGTGGTGCTGAGGATCGAACCCAGCGCCCTGTGCATGCCAGGCTAGTGCATTACCGCTTGAGCCACATCCCCAGCTCCTCTAAGCAGATTTCTGAGCCTGGTTTCTGTGAATTTCCCAGCAATTCCAGCTCACTAGGCCTTTGACCTTAACTCAGCAAGGTTTTACACTCTTTGGATTCCTTTGATGTTCATAGTCCCCAAATTGCTTCCAGGTAGAAATCTGGGGATATTATAGAGGTTACCTCATTTGTTACATTTATTAGAGAACAGAAGTACTGTTTCCAAATTTCTGAAATAGCATGTCTAGTTTCATATATTTTTCACAGGTGCTATGTATTTTCCAACTTTCTAGTTGTTTATGACAGAAGATTAAGTTCATTCCTGGTTACTTCATCATGGCTGGAAGCAGAAATCCAAACTTTCCTTTTTAATTGGCATATTTAGTATATTTACATAATTTTTACATAGTAGAATTTAGGTGTGCCATTTTGTTATTTGGATTTTGTCTCATTTATTTTTTTTCTTCTTTTTTCCTATGTTCTTTTGTTTAGCATTCCATTTAAATTCTTCCATTGACCCTTTTAGTGACACTTCTTTTGCTTTTTTATTGGTTGACCTGGGTTGCATCTTTAACTTAGTAATATTTACTTAGTGTTAATAGTGACTGACTTAGATGAAATATAAAAAACTTAAAAATGTATGTTTCTTCCAAAGCTTCATTCTTTGTATTATTATAGAAAGTATCATATTCCTATATACATTATAAACTCAACAATTTTTGCTTTTGCTTTTAATAAAAATGTATACTTTTAAAGAACATATAATTAGTAAAGAATTTTTGGATTTACATAACTATTTTGTATTTTCAATCTTCTTTCCTCCTTTCTGAAGTTCAAGGTTACCATCTGATGTCATCTATCTTTAGCCTAATGAACACCTTTTGGCATTTCTTGTAGTGCAAAGCTGCTGGAAATAAAATTTTTCGGTTTATCATTTTCTAAAAATATCTTTATTTCACTTTCATTTTTCAGGAACAGTTTTTTCTGGATATAAATTTTTAGTTGACTGTTTTCATTCTCTTTTCAAACACTTGGAATATGACATTATAAATGTCTTATAGCCTCTATTTTTTAAATGAAAAGTAACTATTAATCACATTGTTGCTTACCTGGGATGTGTCATTTATGTCTTGGTGCTTTCAAGATTTTCTCATTATCTTGGTATTCAGTCATTTTGCTGTAATGTACTAATGCATGTTTTTTTCTCTAAGTTATTTGGATTATATGGTTTTTATTGACCTACCTTTTCCCGCCTTATGTTGACTCTCTAGTCAGTTATTTTTATTTCCAATTATTGTTCTTTCCAGCTCTGTAGTTTGCATTTGATTATTTTGATAGCCCTTATCTATTTACTAAAACCTTTAATTCCTTGAATATAATCCCTTAACTCTTTGAATATAACTCGAATACTAGAACAAACACTCTGTCACTGAGCCACATCTATAACCCCTATTACTTTGAATTTGCTGCTAAATTTGGGCTTACTTAGAGTTTCTGAAATCTCTTCCCACCCCACCCCCCACCCGTATCCCATTTATCCATTTTGCTTTTCTTGCTAAAAATAATTTTGAGGGCATGGAAGACCCAGGATAGAGAGGACTTGACCCAAAATTCAGGAGAGAAAGTCTAGAGAGGTGAACCTGTGATTTGACACCACATTTCACCTGAAGGGATTTAGGTATTTGCTGATTTCTTTTTTCTTTTTTTGTGCCGGGCATTGAATCCAGGGGTGCTTAACCACTGAGCCTCATTCCTAGGCCTTTTTGTTTTTATTTATATTTTTTTTCTTGTTGATGGACTTTTCTTTCTTTCTTTATATGTGGTGCTGAGAATTGAATCCAGTACCTTACACATGCCAGGCAAATGCTCTACCATTGAGCCACAACTCCAGCCCTTATTTTTTTTCTTTTTGACACTGGATCTCACTAAGTTGCTGAGGCTGACCTGGAACTTTTGATCCTCCTGCCTCAATCTCCTGAGTCATTGGGATTACAGGCTTGTGCCATTGCACATGGCTCACACTTGCTGATTTCTAAGTGGCAGCTGAGAATCTAAGAGATTGAATATCAAGAGTAGTAATTAACAGTTTGAAAAGATAAGTGGAGGTTTGACAGACTCTGCCAAGCAGTCCTGCAAAGTTATACTCCAGGATGAAGGTCATAAAGACAAACCCAGCTTTCAATCAGAACAGTCTTAGTTTGGGTTAAAGTAATCTGTCCCTACTCTAATGGCCTTCCAGAGAAAATGGAGAAAGATAACATCATTCATAGCCTTAAATTATCTTTGCCAACTCTTCACACACAATGGCAAGAGTTCACTGAAAAAATTATCAGATATACCAGGAAATAAGAGCAAATGATGGAAAACCAAGAGAAAAAGAAATATCATCAGCCAGCAGAAAAGAGACCCACAGGAAATCTAGATATTGGAATTGTCAGAAAGGATTTCAGACTTCTTAATTTCTTACATTTATAGTTGTTATTTTAAAATGGGGGTTTACTGAGTCATTAGGGCAGCTAATTTTGAAAAATACATTCTTCATCTACTTTTATTTATTCATGGTGTTGGGGATTAAAACCAGGGCCTAACATGTTATGTATATGTTCTACCAGAGCTATATCCCTAGCCCTGAAAAATAAATTTTTAAAATAAACTTAGAAATTTGAAGAAGTCCTTATATCTAGAATGATCGATAACTACAGTTTTTAATATCTCAAACACTTTGAGTGTTTAATGTATACCAAGAACTGTGCAATATGGGAATAAATCATGGTCCCTGATATCAAAGAATCTATGGCCAACGTGAGGCTGAGGAGCCACAGAGACTTTCACATCCTGACCCCCTGAACCTTAGAATGTGTTAGCTTATGTGTTTGAAGGGAACTTGCAGAAGTAATTATTTTTGAGATATGGCGATTAAACTGGATTATCTAGGCAAACTCAATGTAATCACAAAGGTCCTTATAAAGGGAAGGCAGAGTCAGTGAATAGCAGATGTGGTGACAGAAGGAAAAGGTTTGAGTCATGCATGGCAGCTAAAAGGACAAAGATACAAATTGTCCCAGCAGAATATCCAGGAAGACACCTTGACTTTAACCTGTTGAGACTGATTTTGGATTTCAAACCTCCAGAACTGAAATATAATAGATGTGTTTTAAGTCACTAAGTTTGTGACAATTTGTTAAGCAGCAAAGGGAAACTAATAATACCCTATTAGAGTGGACAACTGCATCAACAGATAATTTCCAAGTGGTATATACTGTGGAAGCACAGGACTGGAACTCCCAGTCCAATCTGGAATTCAGAGAATCACATATAATGGTAATCTATAAGATTCCACAATCATTGATGACACAACCAGTACAGGGATGCTTGGGTCCCTTAAATCAAAGGCCAGACTGGAAGAAACCTTGGACTGCATGCTGTGAAGTGAAAACTCCATGCAGAGGCAGTGGGAATCCAGGAAAAGAGCGGAAGTGGGATGTGACTAGATCTGGTAGGTTTTTTTTTTTTTTAATTGAACCCCAGGGGCTCAATAAATTGAGCCACATCTTCAGCCCTTTTTCTATGAGCAATAGAGAGAGAAGGTCCATCATAGGTTACGTTACTGTCCAAGTGAGAGATTATTTGCTGAAAAAATACATGAACATATTAGCAATCTTTCTGACAGGTATACACAGGACTCTGTGACAAATCACTAGGTGAGATGTCTTCTGGAAGTTATAACCACAGATTTTACATTGTAGGAAAAATAATGTATATTAAAAACAAGTTCACCAAGGCCTTATTTATATAATATGTAAAAATAATTTGGTGTGGAGTGAGCTGGTACTTAATGTGCGGGTATAAACACCTGTAGGTTAAAGGCAGAATTCCTGGGAGCTGGCAGCAGGCACCTTCTGTGGGCAGCTGTTCTAAAGTTCTCAGAAGCTCTCAAATCAGCACAATACTGTCCATGTAAAATGTTTCCCCTTCTATCTGCAAACTCACCTTGCAGAAAATACTGTGTGAATGAAGAGTAGTATAAAGAAAGATATTTAATTTCTCAAAATGATTTTTCATCTTCTGTAGACTAGGTCTAAGAAATAGTTAATCAAAACTTTCAGATAGCATTTTTCAGTTAGTGAATGTACTTTTTTATTTAATATCTAACTTGCACTTTTCTAACAAATTTGAAATTCTAGGCTCTGGAATTTGGTTTAAAGATATTTAATTTCAAGACAGGCAATCCTTAAGTTTTTAAGAAATAAGGCCATATTGGTTCATAATAGCAAATACTCTACAATTTGTGGTTGGTATTGTTCTATGTGCCTTGTATGTAAAAATTAATTTAGTTCTTATAACAATCCTATGAGGTATTTTCTATTTTTTTCTCATTTTAAAGATGAGAAAATTGAGGCAGAGGTTAAGTTGCTTGGTCTGATATCACATGGCTACCAAGAGGCTGTGTTTAGATTTAGACCTAAGCAATATGGTTACTGGAATATCATGCTAAGTGAAATAAGCCAATCCCCCCAAAAACTAAAGGCCAAATGTTTTCTCTGATATGTGGATGCTACTTCAAAATAAGGGGGATGGGCAAAGAAGAATAGTTACTTTAGATTTGGTAGAGGGGAGTGAAGGGAGGGGAGGGGGTATGAGGGTAGGAAGAATAGTAGAATTAATCAGACATAATTACCCTAAGTACATATATGACTACATGACCAGTGTGATTCCACATCATGTACAACCAGAAGAATGAGAAATTATACTCTGTTTATATATGATGTGTCAAAGTACATCCTACTGCCATGTATAACTAATTAGAACAAATAAAAAATATAATAAAAAATTGTGCTTTTAACTATTGTCCTGAACAAGCTATGCCTTTAACATAGACTGGACACATTTGTGTCTTTCCACATTGTCAGGATTTATTGAGTAATAATAAATTTACAAGCTACATCAATTTCATCAGCTTCAAATTCCTGAAATTACTCATGGTTCACTTGGTGTTATGACCCTGGCAATCATGATTTCTTCCATTCCATTTCAGTCTTAATTACTAATGTTTATAACACTCAAATCACACATCATACTTAACGCAATGCTATATAGGTTACAGAAGGCTAAGGAAGGTTAAGGGTGGACACAGGGTTTCAAGAGGCCCAATGGCAGGGAGCAATATAACTACAGAAGACTTACTGCAAGTGGTCAGATCAGGAACCAGCTGAAGAACTTGCTCAGGGGTCAAGGCTATCAGGGTGCTGAACTTATTCTAAGCCAAGGTCCAGAGGGCAGGCAGTTGAGAAGTGGGGGAGGGTGAGGACCTGCTGAGCTGAAGTCCTAGGAACAGAGTTGGGAGTTTGTTACCTGTGGACCTCCTGAGCAGTTCACTGGATGGGTTGCAACACCACCCATTACCGTTTTGGTGGTCCTCCTTTTATGTATTTCAGGTGAGAGGATTACTTCTGGTGAGATTGATAAACTCAGGCGCCTTGTTTCTCTGATATGGGTTTGATGTCCATGCATCCATGAGTTTCTGATTTAATTTGGTAAGTTCACAAGTGGTCATTATTCATTATTCAATTTTCAGTTTGTGCCTTATGATCATGCTGTATTGCTGGAGGTTATTCTTCTTGATGAATTCTGTATGTCTACCATCTGGAGGTTATCTGTTTGCTCAGACAAGTTTTCGAGTCATTCTGCTTTAGCACTTTAATTCAAAATGGAGTAGCTCGGGTCAAACTGCTTTATAAAATGGAATAAGTCAGGGCACTGCTGTTCCACACAAATGGAGCAACTCAGAGCAGGGCAGTGCCTTCTTTCCACAATCATTACTTGATACTCCCTTTCAACGCTAACTTATTAATAAATTAGTGTATTTGCAGATTCAAATTGCTCTTACTTGTAACTTCAGTTTATCATAATGAACTATTGGGAGATTAATTATGTGTGATTAAAGTAAATGTGAAGAACACGGCAAAGCAGATTTCAAGATCACTCAGAGAGTAATGTGAAAAAAGGTTTGCCAGAAGCTAGGCATGGTGATGCATGCCTGTAATCTCAGCTACTGAGGGGGCTGAGATGGGACATCAGTTGAGTCCACTAGTTCAAGATGAGCTTTGGCAACACAGTGAGTGAGATCCCTGTATCAAAAAAAAAAAAAAAAAAAAGAAGGTCAAAAATAAATAAAATGCCCACTCACAAGCAAGAACCAAAGGAGCATGGGTCAATCTTTTTTGTCTGTTTTATTATTTTTACGTTTAAGTAGAGTTGGCACTCTATAAATATTTGATCCACTGCAAATCTGTGGACTCTGTATTTGTTTTTCATTACTGCAACAAAATACCTGGGGCTGTATTTTTTAACAAAGAGGTTTATTTTGGGTCAGAATTCTGGCCTAAGTGTGAGAGGCTGCATGTGGTAATGGTCTGCTTGCTGACAGAATCCCAAGGTGGTTCAGGGTTATCACATAGAAAGAGATTAAGGGACAGGTATGTTCATTTCTTCTGAAGTCTCTCCCTCTGAGCTACAACCCCAGCCCCATTTCCACCTTCTTAATACCTCACAATGGGGATCAAACTTCAACACATGAAATCTTGGAGGATAGCATTCAAACCATATCCAAACAATAATATCTAATAACCTTATATCTAAATCAGCTCACAAAGGCTCTACTTCTCAATACTATTGTTGTATAAATTTCCACCTTGACATTTCCATGGTGTTGGAGACCTCCTGCTGGCTCTACCACTGAGCTATAATCCCAGCCACACACATTTCCATCTTCTTTTTTTAAAAATCTTTGTTTTATTTATTCATTTATTTATTTTTTATGTGGTGCTGAGGATCGAACCCAGTTCCTCACGCATGCGAGGCAAGCGCTCAACCACTGAGCTACAACCCCAGCCCCAATTCCACCTTCTTAATACCTCACAGTGGGGATCAAACTTCAACACATGAAAACTTGGAGGATGGCATTCAAACCATATCCAAACAATAATATCTAGAACAAAGTTTTTCAAGAGAAATTCTACCTGGGTACTGTGGTGCATGCCTGCAACACAAGCTACTTGGGAAGCTGAGGCAGAAGATGGTAAGTCTGAGGCCAGCCTGGATAACTCCTGGGTAAGACCTTGTCTTAAAATAAAAAATAAAAAGGACTGGGGATGTAGCTCAGTGATAGACTGCCCCTGAGTTCAATGGCCAGTAAGGTGGGGGTGGGGAGGAGAGCACTGGACATTGATTACTTATTTTGGTACTTAACATTACACACACACACACACACACACACACACAAACAAACAAAACAAAAAACTCACCAAAAAACCTTAATAAATTCTCCTTGCTAAAGATTCGTAGAAACTTAAGTATACACAACAAAACTTTAAAACTTTCTACTCACCAACACATACTTTTTCGGAGTTGCTGTCCTCTTTAGTGTGATTTCTCTCCCCATGAATTTGCAAAAACATATGCATGTTTATATAACTTAAAATACAAATGCAACCATAAATATGCATTATTTTGCAACTGCCTGCTGTTGGTGTTTCTTACCATTACAGATCTACTTCTTTTAATAACTCTTTAGTAATTCATAAAGGCTATATTGTTTTCTATTACTATCCCATTCTGAGGGACATTTAGATCGTTTCCTATTAAAAACCACGCTGCAATGTACATTCATGGGCAAATATCTGGATAAACGTAGAACGTGCGGGTAACACCAATCCCTTATTCGTGGAGAAGCCCCCTCCGCGTTCCTAAAAGCGCCGGGAGGAGAGCCGTGGAATGCAGGGTAAGCAGGAAGATGCCCTTTAGGGCAATCGTAATTGTTCCTCTCGCACTGAGGTCTTGGACGAGCTGGGAGCGCAAGGCCTCCGTTGCCAGTGACAGGAAAGACGATGGACATCTGCGCTTCTTGGAAAGGAGCCTGGACAGCGTCCTCCCCAAGACCACGCCTTCCTGTGGAGCCCCCACGCCGTCGCTGAGGCCCTTTCAAGGCCGGACTGAGGAGCAACTCCCCTCGGCAATAAAAATAGTCGTGAGACCGCAAGGTGAAATTGCGGGAGCCTGAATGGCATGGGAAAGTAGTGAGCGGTGGCAAGGCCCACGCAAGGACCCAAGAAGCCCGCGGAAACAGGCGCCGCAGCCGCCGCCGCCGCCATGGCGACCGCGTCCGTCCCCGGCGGAGGACTCACTTTCCCAGCGGTCCCCGCGGCCGCAGGGGCCGCGAGCTCGGCCGGCCCTCGCGCGCAGGGGCGGGGCCGAGGCCGGAAGTCACGTGCCGTGACAGCCGCTGGGGCGAGGCCGGCGTCGCCGCCCGGGCTGGTTGGGGCTGTGTCTGTGGGAGGCGCTGGGGTGATGGCGGTGGAGACTCTGTCCCCTGACTGGGAGTTTGACCGCGTTGACGACGGCTCACAGAGTAAGGGAGTGTCAGGGCGCGGGCCGACCCTGCCGGGCCGGCCGCAGCCCTGGCGGCGCTCCTGCCAGGAGGGCTCTGCGTCGGGGCGCCGCGCAGCCGTCGGGTCCCGGACCCTGGCCACCCCGGGGGTGTGAGTGGGACGCGCCCTCGGGTGTGCCTTCCCGGGTCGCGGCCCGCAGACGGCGGGTCGGCCGGCCAGGGCTCTGCGTGCGCGGGCCGACCGCGGTGGCTCTTTGCGGCCGGGGCTGCGGGCGGGCGCGCCCAGGAGGCCCCCGGCCTGCCTCGCGGGGACCTCGTCGAGTTCGCGGAGTGTGCACTTCAAGCAGAGGCTCCTGCCTGGGTTCCTGTTTCGGTTTCCTGTTTTTCTTCTTTTTCTCAAACCAACTTTTGGAAGTTTGGGTTCTGGTACTTAGAACCGTAGAAGATAGCGAGGAAACAGCTGTTCACGCTGTAGAAAATAACCCGAATATCATTTTACCCTTCTCCAGGCCCATTATGTTAACTCGTGTGTTTCCTGGGATGGCCAGTCTTGCATAGCAGCTGTAAAAGCTTTCAAAAATTACAACAGAGCTTCCCATTTTGCTTCATAAATAGAATGGACTGATTTTTTAAAACTTAGAATTCAGCAACCAAAAAAAAGGAAAACCTAACAGTTTCTTTTGGCAAAATATAGAGCCCAAACTAATTATCTTAATGAAACTACTTGAGATTACTGCAAGTCCTCAGTCTGTTTCTTTGTTGATATTAATCTAAATAAGAGATATTGGGGCATGCTGTTTTCCCCAAATCGGAAAGTCAGTTTTTAAAAATTCTAGGTGAACTTTGTCTGATTTTATAAAGAGAAACTTAACATCTATGAATTTAAGATTATTCATTTCTCAAAGATGGGTAAACTACATCCAGCATTGTTTGAAGTTTTTTACAAAACATTCCTTAAGATATTAACGCTTATGCAACATAAAAGTAATCTTGGAGCTATTGATAAAAATCTTGAATGATTTTTTGTTGCAGGTCTTTGGTGCTTATTGTGATAATCATGTTGTCATGTATGGTGTTTTGTGGGCAAAGGTTTCCTATGTTAGTATCTTCAAAACAATAATGAGGCTGGGGGTTGTGGCTCAGCAGTAGAGCACTGGCCTAGCACATGTAAGGCCCTGGGTTGGATCCTCAGCACCACATAAAAATAAAATATATTGTGTCCAATTAAAACTAAAAAATAAATAAATGGGATGGGGTTGTGGCTCAGTGACAGAGTGCTGGCCTGGCACACGTGAAGTACTGGGTTTAATCCTCAGCACCACATAAAAATAAAATAAAGGATATTAAAAAATAATGAAGATATGTTATTTGGTTTTGAAATGATTCCAACTTGAAGTAGAATAATCTGATTCATTCAACAGACATTTTCTACACTCCAGTTGCTGTTAGGGGTACAAAGATAAGGCAAGGAAGGGTAGCTATTGGAAAAGATGACTGTTATACAGGTGTTTAGAATTCTGAATAATCATGTGATTCTTATGTCAAGTCATGTACTTTAACTTTTACTAATTTTTCAACTATTCATAATTGGCAAGGAACCTCAATGTTATTAGGGTTTTCTGTTCCCTTCTACCTTGTGAATTCTCAAACTAAGGGAGCAATTTATTGGTGTGTTTTTCTAGTATTGTCTTTGGGAATTCATTTGCTGGTCAAATGAAGCTTGATCCTTTCCCATGTAACAGAATAAAATGTCAATTTGGGGTCCTGAACACTTATGTAGTTTTTGTGTTAGCTGTAGGAAAGAGAAGACTGGTTTTTATTGATTTTTGGACTATGAATCATATCTAGACTAAATGTTTTCCAAAACTACCTAGATTAATGCTGTAATGAGATAAAAACTTTATTGAGCTAAATTGGTTCTTCTGATTCAGATCATGAGTTGCAAACACTAAGGAAAAATAGGAAGGTAGATCTTTAATACAGCATGAGTCAGAATATACTTTATCTTAGAGTGGCTTCAGATTGCTAAGTTAAAAGTTTTTAAAAAAATTTTAGTTGTAGGTGAACATAATACCTTTATTTTATTTATTTATTTTTATGTAGTACTGAGGATCAAACTCAGTGCCTCACATATGCTAAGTAAGCACTGTACCACTGAGCTACAACCCCAGCCCCATATTGTTAATTTGAAAAGAAAAATTTTCTTTTATTAGAAGACAAAGATTGAATAGTTGTACACATCAATAAAAGAAACTTGAATTTGCTGCCTTTGTGAATAAATAATTTTTATGTATAGGATGAAGTAATTACTTTCATTAATTTTGATGAACTGGCATTTTTAAAATATAGTTTATTCCAGTGACTTTAAGCTTAAAGTCATGAATTGTGTTAATTCTGTAAATATCAGCACAGTGTTTTGTTCTGATTTTACTATTCCAACTTGTTTTTATAGTTAAATAATTTAACAAATTATAAAACATGGTAAATTTTTAGGCATTATGAGAAAAATATTCTTAAATTATCATCTAAAAATGTTGCTTCTTTAACAATACAGATTTTTTTTTTTTTTTTTTGGCACTGGGGATTGAATCCAGGGGTGCTTAACCCTTGAGCCACATATTCAGTCCTGTCTATGTTTTATTTTGAAACTAAGGTCTTGCTAAGTTGTTGAGATTGGCTTTGAACTTGTGATCCTTCTGCCTCAGCCTCCTGAGTTGCTGGATTTGCAGGTGTGCTGTGCCTGGCTTAAGTTACCAGCCCAGCCAGCAGCTTGTTTATTTTTGTAGTGCTGGGGATTGAGCCCAGGTCCTTGCACATTCTAGGCAAGCCCTCTACCACGAGCCATATCCCCAGGTCAATGTAGATTTTTGCACCTGCTTCAGGCCAGGTTGTGAATATTTATATTTTTCAGTAGAGTTGTTTCTCACTAAAACATAGAATCAAGACATTGAGTTGTCAGAGGCATTATTCAGATTGGTTAGAAGTCCTGGGTAAATGGGTCACTGTTTTTAAAATTGTTTTATGCATTTGGAAAAAGTTGAAGGCTGAATTACTGTTTAACTTTGGAACTTTATTTTCAAGAAGTCCAGACATTCCAAAGTAATAATTAACAATGCTTTGCTGTGATTTCTGAGGTTATTTGAAGTATGTAGAGTTCTGTAATTCATTACTTGTGGCTCTAACATACTGTTTTAAAATTTAAATTTAGAAATTCATGCTGAAGTCCAACTTAAGAATTATGGAAAATTTCTTGAGGAATATACATCTCAATTGAGAAGAATCGAGGATGCGCTGGATGATTCAATTGGAGATGTTTGGGATTTCAATCTTGATCCTATAGCGTTAAAGGTTTGATTTGGTTTGATTATTTTACTTATGTATATATTTTCAGGACCTAGTATATATTAAACTTCAATTTTAAAGTAGAAAATATATTTTATTTTCAATCTTTAAGAGTAAAAAGAAATTACAGAAAATTGTTAACTTTCTTTTCTCTAACCTAGGTAGATGTTTTTAAAATTTGTTTTTTGAAAGAATGATTCTTGAAGATGTTAGTGTCAAAGAGTGGTACAAGCTTCAGCTTTTTGACTTGGTCATTGTTTTTCATCACTAAAAAAATAATAAGAGTGCTGGATAGACTATTTAAGCTTGGCTTGTTTGTTCTTATGGAGGTTATTTTCATTCACTGAAAAGTACTGATTTTTAAAGATACTGCTCAGTGAATTTTGCCAACATGTATGCCCATAACTTGTATCCCAATCAAGATATAAGAATATTTTCATCATTTTCAAAAAGTTTCTTTGTGTTGTGTTGGAGATATTGAAGTGGGAGTGATTGTTTAATGTGTTACTCTGTTACATTTTGAGATTACTCTCTTGTTCTGTCTTTGAAACTGGTCTGTTTCCACTTAAATAATAATTAATATTTGTTGAGCACTTATATACTGTGTCTGTCCTAAGTCACACATTCCCTTTTTGTTAATGACAGCTTTCTTGAGATGTAATTTGAATATCATAAAATTAACCCCCTTATTAACCCCCTTAAATTGTACAATTCAGTGATCTTTTTTTATGTTTATTTACAGAATTGTGCAACCATCACCATTGTCAGTTTTAGAACATTTTTATCACCCCTAAAATCTTGCACCTTTTAGTCACCCCTGCTCCCATATTGTGCTACACCAATATCCACTGACTCTAGGCTACTACCAATCAGTTTACTTTATCTCTCTATAGATTTGTCCCTTTTGAACATTTCATAGTTGGAGACATACAATATGTAGTCCTTTGTGTCCAACTTCTTTTACTTACCGTAATGTTTTTAAGGCTTATCCATATAAGGCTCATGAGCATGTCATACTTTATTTTTATTGCTGAATAATATTCCTTTGTATGAAATGCAAATACAGTGTATTTATGCATTCATCAATTGCTAAATAGTTGGAGTTTTCCTTTTTGGAATAGAGTTCTAAAATAATGCCGCTGTAAGCATTCGTGTACAAGTTTTTTGTAGACATGTTTTCATATCTCTTGAAGTGTAAGCCTCAGTGGAATTGCTGGGTCATATGCTGTTTAATTTTCTAAGGATCTGTAAGACTTTTTCCCAATGTGGCCACACCATTTTACATTCCTACCATCAATGCATGAGGGTTCCAGTTTCTCTCCATATCATTGTCAACACTTGATATTATGTTCTTAAAAAAATTATTATAGCCATACTAGTGGGTATGAAATGATATCTTATTGTGGTTTTGATTTGAATTTCATATGGCTATTTCTCCTATGACTAATGATGTTGAGCATCTTTTCCTGT